TGTGTGTGTGTGTGTGTGTGTGTGTGTGTGTGTGTGTGTGTGTGTGGTAGACGGTAGAAACCGTATGAAGTTGGCTAACGGTAGAAATTTACCTTTTACCGTCCTATCGTCATTACGTCATCGCACCTGTGTCAACAGGGCTGCGAGTGYAGAGACACATACATACATACATATTGATCCCAACTGAATGTTTTAAATATGAAAAAGAAGGATTTAAAAAGCAGGATATGACTCCTTTAAGGTTCTGTACCAGCATTTTAGACTGGTTCAAACTACATTTGGGCAATGATTTTGAGTGTTTTTGCTTGCTAGTGAATACATGACACCTGAAAATATGTGAATACTTAAACTGTCTCAGTTTAGAGTTGAAAAATAAATGGAAACAGCCGTTACTTCAGAGTACTAACTTGTAAGTTAACATAGCAATTACCGTAGATGTGTTGATAAAAGAGCTAAATCAAACTGACAGCAAAAATGACCAACTACACACAATTTTAGTAGTACTGTGTAGGTAGAAAATCTTCGTACCCCTCGAGTCTGCATGCTGTTGGTCTCTTTTTTACCCTGTTCGTGGGCAGTTCTCATGTGCTTGTTGTGCGCCGCATGTGTGTGTGTTTGAAGTGTGTGTTTATGAGTCGCTCCTATATGCCGAGACATCCAGGTGATTCGGTAGTTGTGGACAGGCAGGTCTCCCTCYCTGGGGGGGTCCCAGCGTAATAAGACAGTCACTGTGGCTCCGGTTCCCACTGACCTGTGGAGAAAAGGCTTGCAAGTCAAACAACATCATAAAACAAACGTAAACAAAGTCGCAGTAACAGAGCAAGCAGTGTAGGGCTCCCCTAACTGCCATTTGAATGTGGCTCTAAATCAGGTTCTTCAGCTGTGGCTTCACAATCCTCCATTTACTCTGAGTAAAGTAGAGGCGTCTCATTTTCATTATGATGAAAACAAGTTATAATTTAAGTCATCATCTCTGTTATTAAATGATTTTAGGAAATCTATGTTAATCCAAGACATGACTCGACCCTTTTATGACCTTGTTTAGCTGCATGCAAATAGAAAAAAAGCACTGCAATGTGTAATTGAACACAAGGATGAACTATAATTTACAAGGCTCTTGTTTTTAGGACTTTCATGCTGAATGGGCGCACCACAATAGCATCAATAAAAAAGTTAAATACCTTCCTGTGGACTCGGGCGTCAGTGATGAACTCGCCCATTCTAGGGTTTGATTGCTCTCTCTCAGATTTGTCGGAGGTTCTGGAGGTGATGGGTCTACATGCAGAGGCAGAAAGAGAAAGATGAAACAATACATACTGTATTATTGTTGGTCATGTATATCATCTTGTCAACATATTTCTGGCTAATAATAGGAGTGAACTACAGTAAAAAAAAATTATGTATTTTGTATTCATGAACCTAACTTATTAAGCAGTATTTCACTATCAATTTTTATTTGTATCAAATATCAGAATCAGATAASATACTTGAATTTTGCAATTACTCAGCCAAAGAAAAGCAAAAAACAGGAACAGGCTGAATGCTGGTGTGGTTCGTTCTTTGTTTTTCATTTCAAAATAAAATGGCAAAAAGGAAACAATTGAAGGAAATTTYATGACTGATTAACTGAAAGTTAGATCCAGTCTTGTATTTTATACTTTCTGACCACTGCAGCCATATGGTTTAAACAAAGAATGAGAGTCAGTGTCTCATCAATATGAGGCCGTTCTGTTTACATAAACAAAGTTGGTTACGKTCTAACATCTAACGTAAAAGKTACCGCCTCCAKGGGTGTGACAGGAAGTCAGAGACATACGTTAAGAGGTTGATAAATCATTTTACATCAGTTCGTTAGGTATTCATTTTTTATCCAGTCTCCCTTAGATTCAGTCTGGGCTCTGTTCAGAAGGATTGTTTTGCTGTTAATAAGACTCAAGGCCTTACTCTGAGGCCTGACTGCTGTGTGCTGCTGGGAGCTGACTGGAGTCAGAGATGAGAATAAACCCTTTTTAGAAGAGAATCARCYGGCTTTCTGCTATTTTATTCAGACTTCCATTTATTGATCACGTTTTCCTTCACAACCATGTTGTTGTAGTTGTTTTTGTTGTTTTTCTGTTTTCACAAAAATGTAAAATCAAACCAATTAAAAATCCAGTGTTTGATTTTTGCTTCAGCTATTCAAATCCAAAATAAAATATATGGTTGCTCTTTTCATATGTAATGATACCATTACAATGGGGGGAAAAGGGAAAAAAATAGTTTAAGAT